TGAAATTATGTCGGTGTTGTTTGCGGTCTGTGTGTGAAATTATGTCGGTGTTGTTTGCGGTCTGTGTGAAATTATGTCGGTGTTGTTTGCGGTCTGTGTGTGAAATGTCAGTGTTGTTTGTGGTCTGTGTGTGAAATGTCGGTGTTGTTTGTTCCAGGAGCGGAAACATCGGAGAGAAGACATGGTGGAGCTACAGGAAATCCTGGACAGGAACCAGAAAGCTTTGCTGGATTTGAACCTGGCCCGGAGAGTGCAGGCAAAGGTCAGAGTTCAAATACTGGACACTTTGAGTTATACGTTAAGTTTTTGTGAAAGTTTCACAGCACTCTCAGCACTAAATAGTCATTGAAGTGACGGAGATTAGAGGCGTTACTAGAGAGTAACATGCAAAGGAAAGAAGGAGGAGAGATGAGAACGATAGATGTTTGAATAGAAAGAAGGAGCAGACCATACAAGAGCAGCTCCCAACCACACGCTTGAATCACGCACAGAGGTGATGGTTCAATTCAATACCACTAGGCTAGTTTTCTTAAGAACAAAAGAAAAGGAAGCTTTCATTAAGTTTAATGTAAGTACGAATTTTCAAATGGTAAATCCAGAAGTTTTTTTAGCCTATTTATTTGAAGTAAATCATAATTTGTGATAACAAGTTTGAAAAAATACTTTGAATTTGATTCTCCTATGAGTAAACAGGTATATGTCCCTTGATTTCTATTGCTTAGAATTTGTCATGAAAGTAAGTGAACACGCCCGGAATATATATATATATATAAATTTAACTTTTAATCTCCAGCTTGGGCTCATTTCTGTACAACTGCTTCAACATCATACAGGTCTCTTTTATTGGGATTACCTTCATTAGATGAAGAACAATCCAAATACATTTATTTGTTTTGATTTAATGACCCATTTAGTGATGTTTTTGTCATTTTTAGATTTACATCTGGAACTGGAAAAGGGCCCTGACATAGTGGGTTTACCCCCCCTTGGAGATAAAGAGTTAATATTTACAAAACCTGAAGTGGATTGAGTGTTAGGCTACCTCACAGACAGAGAAACACAGTCACGTTGGTTGTCAACTCTTGTTGTTTATTTTGATCTACTTTCCTGTTCCTATCCAGGATCAAGGGCCATAGTTCAAACGACACAATGCACCTCCAGGTTCAATTAGTCAATGCATGGTTATATAGTTCCCTTTACTCTAAGTCACTAGTATATTCTTGTTAGTTATGTCACTTTATTGCAAAACCAGCACCAAAAGGCGCCCCTTTCTCGCCCTACTCCACGTCCACCACACCTTACGTTCACTCTCACAGTCCTAATTGTGCGCTGATTCACGGGAAATCTGTTTTAGGAACAATATTTCTCAGTTTGATTCAATCACACATAAACGTAAAAAGGAAAAGGTGCCTGTTTTTCACATGTGATCGTTTCAAGCTGCTTCCTGTTACTGACTTTAGCCTACTTTTCTCTCTCTACCATGAGCTGTCTGCTACATCTTGTAAGGTCTACCATGACTTCTCTTCCTCCTTGGGTGTTGAATGCTTTCATTTGATTTTGATGGATGAACTAGTATTATTATTATTATTATAATAATTTTCATTTTCATTTTATTATTATTATTGTTATTATTATTATTATTAATTAATTAATTACAGTACAGCCTCTCTATAACGACTTTGTCGGGACTGGAAAAAAAAGTCGTTATAGAGAGGCTGCACTGTAATTAAATAGTTTATTTTGAAAACTATTATTTTCACCTTTTATTTATGGGTTTTCTTTCAGTGGGCCCGCTACATGAGGTGTGATGGGTCGCCGGACCCCACAAACCAAGGGGAGATCAACACGTACATCAACCTGAAGTACGAGGACACGTCTCGGAACGACGCAGTCAGCGTGCTCAAGGACAGCCTCATGGACCTGGCGGTAAGTTAGCTCAACTCTGTCACCTTGGCACGGCGACTGAATCGATCCTGCCAGATTAGTCTTTCCTTGTTCCCCCCCCAGGGCGGTGCTACCGACTGACGTCGTCTTTAGGCCATTCCCAAAGGGGGGGACATTGAAATTTTCTTATGCACAGTAGAATTGTAAATGGGCTGATTTATTGTTCCCCAGTTTTTCTAATCAAACTCATGTTTCGTTCTGCTCTGCAGTTTTTCTAATCAAACTCGTGTTTCATTCTGCTCTGCAGTTTTTCTAATCAGACACATGCTTTGTTTTGTTCTGTTCCGTTCCCCAGCTCATTGAGGAGTTACGCTTCCTGATGAGCGACACTCCCATGGAGGAGCTATCAGAAGGGGAGAGAAGTCTGTACCAAGAGACCATGCAGGAGCTGGAGAATCTGATGGGCAAGAAGCTGGACCTGGCCTCGCTGCAGGTTCTGTGCGCCGCCACCGCGCTGGCCAACCCTGAGACGAACAACCTGCAGCACGTGGTCAGCAACGACCAGATCTCCCTGTGTATGTGGGGGAACCTTACCAAGAACCCAAGGTGAGGGGGA